GTCGTCTATTGTATGTAAAGATGACGCTTTTTATAAAAAAAAGGTCGTCTATTGTATGTAAAGATGACGTCTTTATAAACAATCCACGACGGTTTTCATAAAAAAATCGTCATCTTTACACACAATACACGACGGTTTTATTAAAAACAGTCGTCTTTCCTCCTATAATTAACGATCTTTACCTCTAAACAACGACGATTTTCTTTAAAAACCGTCATCTTTACTGATAAACAACGACGGTGAAAAGTCGTCGTAGTTTGAAACTCAAATAGACGGCAGTCGATTTCACGACCGGGCGAAAACCTTTTACACGACGGTGGTTTCTCATCGTCTATTTCAATTTTTGTAGTAGTGAAAATTCCCAAACTCACGGACTGTTCTCTGCTTCCTTTACCCATGATTCCGTCAGCGAACTTACATATAGCCAAGCAGTTTTTGAATTTGCCTCCCTCCTTGTGCTTTTACACCATGGCCTTGAAACTCAGCTGCTTCCCTGAGATCTCCATCTTCCACATAGTGTATGATCTGATGGGGAAGCAAAGCATCCGGCTTTATTATATTTATGTCGCCGGCACTTAAATTCCCTGCAGCTGCTGCTGACTCCTCCAAATACCTCTTAACCGCACACCCCCTTCGTGCGTTAAACATGCCTTGATGATTGTAGTACTTTTTTAGCAGCAGGAGCTGCCTTCTCATGAGGAGGAAGTAGAAGGCCATTCAGAATGTTGACAAGTAAATACAAGCCGCCAAAGGAGTGGGCAGTAGAGACGGCGTTGCATGCGAGAGTCTTGGGGTGGTTGTGGTAGAGTCAAGAGGCGGCAGTTTCGAAGGCTTCCAAATAGTACCCTTTTCCAGCATAGAGGTTGCAGATGAGCTTGAGGGTGGTTAGGGGATTGTGGGACCAGGGCACCGGGAGCTGTTGCTTCAGGTAGTTAAGGGAACGGGAATTATTGGAAGACCGCTTGGCATCGTCCTCGTCCTCATCGACCATAGTACTTTCCAACTAATCATGTGAGATAGAATAAACATTCAGTAATATTATGTTATATCATTTGGGTAATGATCCATCAACCTACTATTTCCTTTTGTGAGGTCAGGTACCTCTGATCCTTGAAGGTTCACTACTCACCTACGTAAATCTTCCCCTGCTTGAAAAATAATAACTTGAAAGATAGTAAGACTTCTTGTGTATGAATGATGGGACCTAAGCTTCTAAAAACGTGCCTTGAATTCTTAACGGCGTAACAACCCCCAGGCCAGCACAAACGGGAGAATTTATCTTAAAGGTGGAAGAATTACTAAAGTTGCCATGGATTTGTTGATCTTGTACTGACACAAATTCGTCATTTGAGATACTAGATTTAATATTTTAAAGGGGAAAGGTATGATGATCGGAACGAAAACAAAGAGTTTAAACTTTACAGTTCTATTCCATGAATATGATAATGAAGTTAAGTGCAATTGTTGCAAGTTTGTGTTTAGGGCAATGTTATGCGTACATGCAATTTATGCATTGATTAAGAATGTGACAAACGAATGTTTAAAAAAAAAAATTGAAATCTAAAAGTGACCGAAAAAAATAAATCTATTGCTTTCACTTCAAAAGAAAGGAAGCAATGTAAAACAATCTCGAACCCTTATATTTAGAGATTGTGCACAAATTCAATTGGTAGATGTACTGATTTCTTTTTTAGGTCCAAATGAATGCCGTAATAAACATATATTGGGCTGGAGCCTCCCTCTTTCGTGGGCTCAAGATTGTTTTAACCCGAATTAAAACTAAAAGCCCAATCTATTTTGTTTCGATATCTTCTTCCATTATTCTCTTTTCCAGTTTTCACTGACTCACAGTTGGCCACAGCCTTCTCCAGTTGAAGAGCGCTCCAAACCATCAATGGAGGTCGCCACCACGGCTTCAAGCTTCGCGCTTCACACGCGCATGTTAGCATCGCCAACCACTCGCCGAGCCCTAAGCCATAGCCGCACGCAAACGACGTCGTCCCCTACCCTTCCCAGAGCATCCCTCTCAACCAATTTCCTCTCTCCCTTCGCCGGCACCAGCATCTCCTCCGAATTTTCAGGCCACAAGCTCCGCCCCTCGAGCCTCAACCCAGCGTCGTTCCGTGGCTCCAAGCCCAAACGCGGTGTCGTCACCATGGTACTCCCCCAATTACCTTCCCACATTTAACTCTCAATTTTGTTTTTGTTTTTTCTTTTCATTTTAAATATAATAAATTTAGGCTCAATTTTAATTACCCTCCAATAAATTTGAGATTTTGGGTAATGGGTAGTGTTGTTATTGATTATTGTATAATGAAGTTTGAAATTTGTGTGTTTAGGTTATTCCGTTTCAAAGAGGAAGTGCATGGGAGCAACCGCCTCCAGACCTGGCATCATATCTGTATAAAAATCGAATTGTGTACTTGGGCATGTCACTTGTTCCTTCAGTGACGGAGTTGATACTGGCGGAGTTTCTCTACCTTCAGTATGAAGATGAAACGAAGCCCATTTACTTGTACGTAAATTCCACTGGAACAACCAAGGTTAACATTCAGGACCCTTCATTTATTTTTCGCTAGTACAACCAAGTTGATACTGGCGGAGTTTCTCTGCTTGTTTAACAGATTGGCATGATTGAAGGACGACCAAACTTAATAGTCAGCACCCTTTTATTATTAAGTCATGATAGTACTATATAACTAGAATATGACTGGACCAATGTTTGGTCATAGATGAAAGGTCGATGCCGGGGAGGCAATAATGGGTTCGCCTTTGTTGTCAATTTTGTATGCATATCTATGGTTTTACATTTTGATGGTATCGGTCAATTCATACGTGGTAGTAGCTACAGAGTGCATGCTTATTGCGTGATTGTGCATATATGGTGAGATATGAGAAAAGAAATTGTGTTTGGTAATGTGCTGAAAGCTCATTCCAGCAGTTGCTTCGATGTTGGTGTTAGAGCCAGAGGTAGTTATAGTAGTGCTAATGGGTTGGTACCAATCTTTTAAAATGGCGGTTCTGATACAATCATAGGTGATTCCAACTTGTGGTGGTTGCAAAGGAGAAGGTTTGTGATTGATTCTCATGGTGGGATAGTGGTGGTTGTAAGGATTTCGTAGTAATATCTACATTTGTTGCAGCAGTAATATCTACGTGGTTCTTTAGAAAAAACTTGTTAAAGAATGTATGATTTGTAACTACACTTTTAGTTTTCTCTTGTGTGGTAGTTTTTGGGCTTCTTCCACAGTCGTAATTCAAATTCTTTTGCGACAAGTGTTACATTTTTAATCAATTTGCTCGCAGGTGTGTTAGGACTTAGGAGAAACAGAAATTCTTGTCTTCTTTAGCTGTTAGCCCTTTTTTCTGCACATCCTTTTCTCTTTGACCAACAAACAGTGTAGTTGCTTTATAACTATATAAGTAAAGATTAGTAATTCTCATATTATGTCCCTTCTGCATCTACTGTTAATACAACAATGAAGATTGTTAAAAAATTGTGCCTTGTTTGTTTTTCTTCTTTTATTTCCATACAATAGTTGTTCATTTTATATGACTCTTCTCTTGTATTCTTCAGGGTGGTGAGAAGTTGGGTTACGAAACAGAAGCTTTTGCAATATATGATGTCATGAGGTCATCCATCTCTATTCTTCTGTTAGGTCATGCATTCATGTTGATCAATACTAGTTTCCATCACTTTAGAGATGATCTGAATTTTTCCCCGAAAGATTAAAACTAATTTCTAACCCCTGCAGGTATGTAAAACCACCTATATTTACTCTTTGTGTTGGTAACGCTTGGGGAGAAGCTGCCTTACTTTTGGCTGCTGGTTCGAAGGGAAACCGTTCTGCTTTACCCTCATCAACAATCATGATGAAGCAGGTTCTATATTTATCACAAATTTCTTTAGCTCTAAAATTGTGTACTATCTGGCATGTTTCTTAATTTTTATTGCAAGGCTGGAATTAGTACTTTATATCTCGTTAAATGGAACTTATACATGGATTAAATTTTACATTAACCTTTTGTCTTCTTTCTTTATCTACATGTAGCCAATTGCAAGGTTTCAAGGTCAAGCAACAGATATTGAACTTGCAAGAAGGGAAGTGAGGAATGTTAAAGACGAGTTGGTAAGATTGATGGTCACCAGCATGTCTCCCTTTTTTCACTCTGTTCTCATTGACTAGTTTGAATGCTGGTTAGATTGCTTATGAGTTTTTAAAATTTTCGAAGAATAGCAGACTTCTTCATTGCTTGAGCTCATTTCTGTTCTATTCTTCCATTTTTCTCTTTTCTGTAGCATGTTTATTAATTTTGCAGAATTTACTCTCTTGAATGTTGGTTGAGTTTGGGAGTATTTATATTTTACCATGAAACAATTTGCTCTCTGTATAAGATTACAGAATTTAGCTCAGGTGTAATAATTAATGGGAAAGTAAACGAAAAGAAGGAAAAAGGAAAGACTGGTTTCATTATTTCTTCAGCTTCTACTTCAGTCCTCATTGATGAATAGACAAATAGATGAAACAAATCCGTTGATTAAAACAAGCAATAACAAAAAGAATCTTCTTCACGGAGACCATCCCCCTCGTTCCTTTTCAAATAAATATATTATTAAATGTTCTTTGAACATACGGTGGTATGTTAAACATCTGTGTGTTGAGTCCATAAGTGAATAATTCTATGAACTTTTCATTTGAATGTGCATTTTGACATTCATGCAAACCATAAAATGCATTTAAACATGAGGTGACTTATCAACTCAATGTTTATTGTTTAATTTGTGTTCTAGGTTAAGCTCTTTTCAAAGCATCTTGGAAAGTCAACTGAGCAAATTGAAGCAGACATTAGACGTCCGAAATATTTTAGTCCTAGTGAAGCAGTTGAATATGGCATCATAGACAAGGTACTTCCAATAGAAAGAGTTATTACATTTTTAGTCTAATTCATACCAAACCTATATTTACCCATTTTCAATTGTTTTTTCCAGGTACTGTACAATGAAAGGACTACCGAGGACAGAGGAGTTGTCTCAGACCTGAAAAAAGCACAACTTATTCCGTAGGAAGACTGAATGATCCTCAGAAGGAATATTCAGGTACAGGGAAATAATGAGTTATTGTCAGATTGTAAGTTAGTGATGTTCATTTTTTTTTTTTTTAATTCATTACATGAAATTTATAATGGCTAATATTTGAGTATGAAAATTAAGCGGAATTTTGTCAGAAATTGTCCTAAACTTTCTGAACTTCTATGCAGTGCATGTTGTCTGTTGTTCAATAATTCTGACGGCTTCAGGAGAGTCCAATTAGTTGGGTTGTCATTCAGAACTACTGGATTTGACTTTGTTGTGTGTTAAGTTCTGGTTATTTGAGAAAGGGTGTAAAGTTCTGGATTCATAAAAAGTTCTGGTAGTTGAGGAAGAGTGGAAAGTCCCCTTCACTCAGCCACACGAACCCCTTGATGAGGTTGGAAACCCATGTTCTTGGATAGTGTACCACAGCACATCATTCCACAACATTGACATTATAGTTCTTTTTAGCATATTTAGTGTAATGTTGGAACCGCCACATATGCTGTGCTATGATGGCCTTTAATAAACTCAACAGGCTAGCAAGGAAGAGGAACTGGGTTGTTTGGATATGTACTTTCTGTTGAGTGAGAAATTTGCTCTCTCTAGTGTCGTTTTTATGCTTTTCAAAAAATTTAGTGCTCACAAGCACTCCCAGTTTCAATTATTAACCATTACATTGCTTTAGTATGAGTATAGATTATTCTGGAATTGGGATGTAAATATGTGTTCTTTTCGTGGCCATACCACCTTTACCACTATTTTTCCTTATGATTCTGTAAAGCGACACCTGGAATAGGTGCCGTCTAAAGTTGTTGGGTTGACCATATGGTTAGCTTGCTTTACAGCTTACATTTGCCTTTTATTTTTTGTCGATTGCCAAAATTGGGAGTAAAAATGACTAATGAGGCAATTTTGGTTAATGGTATGCTTCGTGGCTTGTAGTTTTGGTTTCATTAACCGACAACATTACCTTTTGCTCTTTTCCTGTCATCCCAAGTTACAAGTGTAAGAGAGGGATGTGTCAAAGTAGCACATCTGAAGATATGAACCTTACACATATTTCAGTGCATTCTCTACAGTTTCTCGTCCATTATTTGCTCTAAGTGGTTGTCCCATTGGATGTGATGTCATTTTTGAGCCCCATCTATTGTGAAAGTCACGTCACATTCCTGGAATTATGACAGTATGAATTAGTTATTATGATAGATAGTCTTCGTCGTTTGTAGTTGATACAAATATGTTATTATGGCGTAGATGAATTTAATCTTGGTAATAGTTATGTAATTTTATTTTGAAATGTGGATCAATAAGCTTAAGTTAGAAAAATTCTTTGTCTACGGTTGCTAATTAAAAAAATGCTTTCGCTGAGGTCATAACAAAACAAATTGTGTCTATGCACTAAATGCTAATTACTTTTATTGAAGACTAGTGAATCTCAAAGTGCAATGTTGATATAAATATAAATAGGATTTCTACATGTTTGTAAATTGGTGCTTAAAGGATAATATTGTAGTTATGCTCCAAATGTCTCATTTTTCATTGCCAGTTGTGCATTTTAACTTGTGATTTCAAACCAACTTTTTCAGATGGAAGTTTATGTGGCGATTAGCTTTCGAGAGTTCTGGAACAAGAGTTGCACTAATATTTCCAGTCAAGAGCTGCAGTTGGTAACACAAATTTTTCCAGTACAGCAAAGGAATGCATAATACATAGCCTAAATTTGTATCAAGTACAAATAACTGTCACTGTATTCTTCTTTGGTCAAAGGTACATCTAGTTCTAGCATGATTAAGTGTAAAACCAGTTGAAAAAACAAAAGTGACATGTTCTTTTCATTTATTTTCTTTTAATTTACACTTGTTAAAGATGTTTGTTGATTTGTTATTAAATGAAAACCATATTTTCGACGGAGGACTCGCCCGTGGCTGTACAATTCTGGTATTTCTATTGTTTATGCCTATTCAATCTTGAAGAAAATACTTGAAGGCAGAATGTTCGTGATAGTGGTTAAGATAATGAAGGCAATAATCCCTAATTGAGCTCATATTCCTAGTGCCTGGTTTGCTTGGAAGCAACTAAATGGAGGGCAGGGATCAAGATTCACCTACCCCCAATATCAACCTCTTTGGCCAGGACACACAAAACGTGTGATTTAAACGTGACTGCACCTGTTTGTTTTAGACATATCAGAGTCCACCCCATTACGTTAACTTTTCCAGAAAAGGTTCTTTCATTTGGTTGGTTACAAGTTTCTTTTGCGCTTGTTTTAATCTAGACTTTGACACGAAGAAGACCTATATGCTTTTAGTTTTATCTCTGTCTGATAGGCCTCCTCAGTGCGTTACAACCAAACCTGGTGATGGCTTTGGTGGGTTTCAGTTGTTCATATCCCATAGCCCTTGGTATTTGACTTGAGAGCCCAATTAAATTTCACCAGGATATATAGTAATACGCGTCTTTTAGATAAACTAGAGAAGGCTAGTGACTTAGTGGATGGATTGAAGTAGCTCGGAGCTAGTAGTTTCCAAATTGAAACCTACCATTTGAGTCATTACAACGCCAGAGAGAGTTGTTTTCGGAAAATACTTGCCTTCTCTATTGGAACTACGGATGTCTAGTTTTTGCCAATCACAGTTTAATATGTGTGCAAAAAAATTTCTCTGTGTTTTGCACGGATGAAGAATATTTTCTTCCAAAAAAGACAAATGGTGTCCAGCCACTCTTGATTAATTTCATATCACAAGAAAATGCAGAAATTACATTGATTATCAAAACAATCTCTCCTTTCTTATCAAAACAATCTCTTCTTTCTCTTGCTAAATGTGTCCGCACGTGGTGTTGTAATTAGAGAGAGTTATTACTATCACTGGTTTCATACAATAATGTATCTATTTTTTTTGTCATGTTATTAGTTATGTAATGAGATAACTTATCGTATGCACCTAAGATTTCTCATTGTTTATTGACAATAATTTGTACACAAAATACGAAATGGCTTTCGTCCAACCTATGGAATAATAAAGAGAGAATGGTCCCGATTGTAATGATAACCTAAGAACACCCTGATTTAATCAAACTTGTAGATTCAAAGAACGAGAGAAAAAGTTAGACTACACTTCTTGTGAGTATGTATTGAATTGTATTCTATTCTCTCCAACCTCCCATTAACAAAATATTTTTGTTTTATATAATAAGGGCAAAATAAAGGGGTCCCACATAAATGTACACGTAATCAACCTAATCCTAAGCAGCTCGGATCTCTTTTGTACCCTGTAGTTCCAAAGTGGAAGAAGAAGAAAATGTACTTACCACCTCAGCATGCACTAACCCCAGCCTCAACTATAAATATTGGACTCAGATATCTTTGCTCTCACAACTCTCCTCCTAAACCCTTTGGCTTAATCTACTTGATCAGCTTCCTTTTTCTATACTTAACCTCCTCTCATTGCTTAGGAAACTTTGTCATCACTGAGACATGGAATTTTCCCTTAAGCACAAAATTTGTTTTCTTTGTATCATGGTGCTCTTGCCTGCACTGTGTACCTCTCAAGACACATTTACATGCTCTAGAGCAACCTATTATGGTAGCCCAGATTGCTATGGGACCCCAAGTATGTATAGCCTTTCCTACTAATGTAAACATTCATTTATGTTTATCTCATGTTGCTAAACTGTTAATCATGAGCATTGTTAAGTAGAATATTGTCTGAGCACGTGATCTTGATTGATCCAACGTGGCAACTTGTCTTGCAAAAGCGAATTTTCTCTAGTCATACTTATCTTTCGAGTCAAATACTTTTGTTACTAGACTGTGGACTTGGTCACGTAGTCTGAATACAACTAACCTCATTAATTATTTAGATTCACAGTTTGACAAGATAAGCTTACTATGATGTCAAATAGTATGAAAAGAAAATATTATCATGCATGTACGAAGACTACACATTAAGTTACCTATTTGGTAGCAAAATGACAGTAGCCTCCACTAAAAGTTCCTAAATAGTATTTATCATCTTGAAAATGGGGTAATTACTAATTGCAATGGTATGCTCATGTAGCTGGAGCTTGTGGCTATGGAGAATATGGAAGGACAGTCAACGACGGCCAAGTGACCGCAGTTGCTAGGCTGTATCGGAATGGAACTGGCTGTGGTGCATGTTACCAGGTACTCTTGAATCTACTCAATCATTTTTCAAAGTTGATGAACACTAATTATGTTGGTTAGCACTAACAATATTAATCAATTAAACAAGTGGCTTCATTAATTTAATTGTAACCCTAATTAATTTGCTTTTGCTTGTGATTCAGGTCAGGTGCAGAGAACCTCAACATTGCAGTAGTGATGGGGTGAATGCGGTGGTGACAGATTATGGGGAAGGAGACAGAACAGACTTCATCTTCAGCCAGAGAGCCTATGCAAAGTTGGCAAGTAACCCAGCTGCAGCTGAACGGCTATTTGCTTATGGTGTGGTTGAAATTGAATACAGAAGGATCCCCTGCCGGTACTCTGGTCGTGCCAACCTTGTGTTAAAAGTCCATGAACATAGCAAATATCCTGAATACTTGGCTATAGTGATTCAATATGTAGCTGGCCAAAATGACATCATATCTGTTGAGTTGTGGCAGGTAAACTATACTTCACTTGGAATGCTGCATCAATTTAAACTTAGAACCTCTTCTAATAAAGTTTAAGCTGGCACGGTGTTAGAACCTCTTCTAATAAAGTGTAAGCTGGCACGGTGTTACTAGACCAAAAGGTCATTGACAACCGAACATACGTCTCTAACATAGACGAGACTTACTTATTATCTCTATACAATGTGATTTATTAATACGATTTATAATGTGGTACGTAAATGTGATACATATAGCATTACTTGTCTAATATAATATGTTTTTTTTGGGCAGGAGGATTACAAACAATGGAGGGCCATGCGCAGAGCAGATGGAGCAGTTTTTGACACTCCAAACCCACCTAGTGGCTCCCTTAACGTGAGGTTCCAAGTGAGTGGCAGTGCAGGGGTGAAATTCGTGCAGGCAAACCAAGCCATCCCTGGAGATTGGAAAGCTGGGGTTTCCTATGAGACAGACATTCAGCTCAATTAACTGCACATGTTTTGAGATCATCCCAAACTTTTATCCAAATATTAGGACAGAAATTTCATGTTGGCTAATATATTATAATTATTCCATGTAATGCTAGTTGCTTGCTTGTCGTGACTAGGAGATGTATTAACTGTTGTTATTGTATGCTGTGTAGGAGCAAGTGCACTTGGCTTGCCCCAAGATTTAGTGGGATGGTGTACTTTCAATTTGTGAGGATATAATATGAATAAAGTTCCAACTTTTTGGATCCTTCAATATGTGCTTTCACAACACATACAGTCACGAACCTATATGATGATTAGCTAGTGGGATGGTGTACTTTCAATATGTGCTTTCACAACACATACAGCCAGGGACAGATCCAGGAATTAAAAATCAGGTGGGCTAAATTTACCTTAAGTACAAATGTATTAAGGAAATTTGGTGAATTTGGTGGATTTTGGTTGGTTTTTGTAGATTTTTAGGCTTGGACAATAGATTTTATGAACTAAAAACTAGAGGTAACCCACAAGGGTGACTAAATTTTTTTTTTTTGGGTAAATCATAAGCCTAGTTTGTTATATTTTTATTTTATATAAGCATTTTTTAGTATATTTTCTCCATCGTATTTATAACTTTTTGTTATTATACGACATTTGAAATAGAGAAAATATTGGAATTATTGATAATAATGTTGAAATATTTAGAAGGGATTGAAGGGAAACAAAGAAAGAGAAAATACGAAGATATTTATAAGGAATTGAAGTTAAAAAAGAAAGTAATAATAAAATAAAAACATTCCATTTTGTGGGGCAGTGCACTTAACAAAATAAAAACACATCTCATTCCAACACATATCTCCCCCCTCTCTCTTTTTTATTATATTTTCTCGTCTCTCTCTTTTTTAATCTCTCCCTCTATTTTTTTATTATTTTTTCCTCTCTCTCTCTCTCCCTCTCTCCCTCTTTCTTTATTCTTTTTCCTTCTTCCTCTCTTCTTCTTTTCTTTTTTCTCTCTCCGTCTGCTCCCTCTCTCTGTTCTTTCTTCTTGCGGTTTTGGGATGGGCTATCTCCATTAAGTTTTTTTTTCACTTAAGAATACTATATGGTATTACAAATACAAAAAAAAAGATTTGTATGGGTTGTAGCCCAAATAGCCCACTATGTGGATCCGTCCCTGCATACAGCTCTCTAGAAGCATACCACTAGGTATGCAGAAGATCTCAATCAACTTTAGTAGCTAGTGCCACACCAGGGAGGGACCAAGCAAGAATGCAACATCTCCACAGGCATAGGAAGAGCGCCGCCCCCACCAAGAAGAATGGCTCTACCACTCAATTTCCCCCTCATTGCTTGGGATTTATTGTTGAAAAACTTAGCCCTAAATCCTAACTCTACGATGGCTGCGATTCTACCCAAAATAATCCACCATGAGATTTTTCTTAAACATCCATTCAACTTTTATACTATAATGATACTTCAGTTCCCAATGTTAAGTTCAAATTCCCCAATGTTTTTTTTCTAAGGACCTTTTCTATTAAGAGGGGCGATAACATACTTTACTCACACCCTATACGGATGTTAGGACTCGAATTCAGGGCCTTAATTGAGGGAGCAATTGCTCCAATTGTGGGTCCTTTGCGATGTTTTTTGGTTTGAAGTAGCTTTAAAGAATGCTAAATAAAACCTTTAAGACTTTTTATCACAAAACGTCCCTGACGTTTGCGAAACAATCAGATTGCATCCTTAAAGTTTTTTTGTATCACTCATGGTCCCTAACGTTAATATAGGTGTTCTTAAATAGCACCTCTATTAAAAAAACTGTTAAATTCAGGGATATAATCATCAAATCAATCCAAAATTATAAATAAATAAATAAAAATTATTTCCTTCCCTTCTCTCTTTCTTCTTCTTCTTTCTTTCTGCTTGTCTTCTTCTTCTTCTTTCGTCCGTACGTGTGGCTGAGAAGTTGTCCAGCAAGAAATCGGAGAGGTTCACTTATCTTGTTGCTGCGGTGATGTCCAGCTTTGGTATTACTTCCATGGCTGTCATGGCTGTTTATTACAGATTTTACTGGCAAATGGAGGTACAAAATTTCTCTCTGCTCCCTGAACCACAAAAGTTACGAACTTTATCTTCTCTGGTTGAGTTTTTGAATTGGGTGATTTTGTTTTCTGTGTAAGGTGGAAATGTGCCTTTGTCTGAAATATTGGGTACATTTCCTCTATCTGTTGGTGCTGCTGTAAGTTCACTGATTGCTTCTCAATTGGGGAAACTTAATTAAATTAAATTGATTTTGAAGTTTTTTTCTTTACATTGAAAACTACTAAATCGATTTGGATTTTATATATACAAATTTATAAATAAACCCAATCCTAGACATGTATTTATAAAAAAACTCAAGCACTATTTAAACATAGAAACACACCCAAAATCAACCCCAAAGTCAACTTTTTGGGTGTGTTTATAAATGGGTTTTGAGTGTGTGTAATGATGGGTTTTGGGTGTGTTTATAAAGTGTTTTGGGTGTTGGGTTTTTTTATAATTTCAACCTCCATTTTGGGTGTTTTAGTGAAACTCCCTTTTATATATGTATATTTTAGGTGGGAATGGAGTTTTGGGCAAGATGGGCTCATAAAGCTCTCTGGCACGCTTCTTTATGGCATATGCACGATGTTTGCTTCGAATTTTGCTACTTTTTGTTATCTCTTTGATGCCAACAAAATTTTGAGTTTGGAATTTTGTTTCTTTTCGTTCACTGGGAAACCAGCAATGAAAGAAACATGACAAGCTTGAGTTTTTATATTGTTTTTCCATTCAGTTTCTTAGTAACCAATCAGTGTTTGATATTTGATATGAACTTTAATTGCAGTCTCACAACCGACCCAGAGAAGGTCCATTCAAGCTTAACGATGGACTGAAACAGAGAGAGAAGAGATAAGGAATCTGGCAGAGAGAAAGAAGAAGAAGAAAGAGAGAAGGAAAGCAAATAAAATATATATTTTCTTTTTATAATTTTGGATTGATTTGACGATTATATTCCTGAATTTAACAGTTTTTTTAACACATAGATTATTTAAGAACACCTATATTAACGTTAAGGACCATGAGTGATACAAAAAAACTTTAAAGATGCAATCAGATAGTTTCGCAAAGACATTTTGTGATAAAAAGCCAACCTTTAAAACAAATTACAACCAGTTTTGCAATTTTTCCAGGGAGTGCAATGAATGACAAGGAGAAAAGCCTAAATCCTACAAGCGAATTGAGCTTCGACAATTTGACTTGGGTGTTTCGAATAGTTCCCGATTATCTTTCCTTTCTTTTTGGGGATAGCACATTCAATATTTCCATCTGTTCCGCCATAGCGCGTTCAATTTCCATGGCTGACAGATTTGAAGGAGACTTTAATATTTCCATCAGCAAGAGCTATAATTATTCTTTATCTGAATGGCCACGATTATAAATATAACAATTTTTTTTTTAATTATGCATATGAGGGAGGGAAAATACCAACACTGCCAGCATGAAGAAAAGAATAATTCACTAAATGACCTCTAAATGAAGATACAATCTACAAGGAGAGAAAACAGTCGAAACTGAGAACAATAATTGCTTAACCTAAAAGAGTAACATCTTGTAATATGGATTTAAAAAGAAATTGAAAAAAATAGGAACATATTTCATTCCAATGACTTAAGGAGCCTAAAGAGTGCCGCTGCTTCCCTAATCCGTGAAAACTCTATGCAAAAAGCTTGGACTTCGATGAAAAGATCCTTAACTGCAAAGACAACCATTGACCAAAAGTCAGCAACATAACGTTGAGATTAAAATTTGTTCAAATGGGAATTCAGGTCTTCATACAACTAAAAAAATCATTTCAACTTCGAATCCCATCAACCATCTCAACATTTAACATGCAAAGTAGGTAATCATGAATAACACACGTCAAGCACATATGCATATGCGGATGGACAAGATTGCGGCCGCTAACGTCCGCACGTTAAATCACAATCATATGGCCAAGATAACAGAACACACTGCAAATAAAGAGTGATGCTGACCATTGATAATGTTGTTTCGGATAAGGCTCTGCAGAAACACACAAACAAGCCTCACAAGTCTGTTCTGCATGTACTTGTCCTGGAAGGAAGAAATTTGAAATTTCAAGTCGTTAGTAAATACTAAAAAGAGTTTGATAATAAGAGCAAACAAAGAAAAACATTATCTTAATGGCTTCTACTTAAAAATTTTGTATAATTGAACCCTGGCATGCAATATTCATTACGTAGCTTCATAAATGTTATCATAAATAAACACTATAGCTCCTATACACATGGCAATGGAAATTGCTAATGAGGAAGGAGCAACTATGAGTTCGTATGAGCTCACACATCACTGCATGTTCGCAGCTTCCTATATTTTGGTTGAATCCAAAAGACAAGCAGAACATGTCTATCACTTATTTGACAAGGAATCTCCAGATAATGCTACTTCAGATTTTAAATCGAAGACAACAAACAAAAGAAAAATGCCACAAAAATCTTAAGACCTACATTATATTCAGGAACTGAAAATAGCATGGGTAGGGTACAAATCAGAATGCATTTGTGATTGCATAAATTCTTTAAAACTATTTAGTTAACTGAAAATTACAGAAGCTATATCACTTATGGTCATACTTTTATTTGACATTCAAAGTATCGCAAGCACTCCGGTAAAATTAAAAAAACGTATAGCTAGTACAAGTAGGCAAACACAAGTTGCATGAATTTCATCACTCAAATAGTCTCTTTTTCATTTTCGTCCTTAAACTTCAGTATGCACCAATCGATCCTTAAGCATCCTTGTCATGTTCATACTTCAATCCTTTCCATTGACAGACCTTTAGAAAATTAGATGGACTTTGCTGGCACATCATATTTCGCATTGAAACAAGAAGCCACATGATTTTCTTCCCAAACCCACACCACTTCAACTTCACTCAGCAACCGCCGCCACCAAGGCCACTGCACTGACTAACCTACAAAAGCCAATCACCCAGAGTGGGGAAAAAATCCCCAGTACCTACCACCATGCTCATCCCTACTGAATCTAGCGAATCTACTAACTATTTCTTCTCCTAACAAGCTCCTCCCACTTTTATTCATCTTAGTCTTGCATGCACGGAACCACCGAAGGAGACATTAAAAACCCATTATAACATGACTGTTTATATATACATTTGAATTGTGCCTTTGCATCTCAGAACGTAGTCAGGAATACTAGTGGTTACAGGCAATGTATTCAGAAATACTAATAACCGCAGGCAAGGTGAAGCAAGTACCTTGATATTCTCACACGATGATATACAATTTGTTATGTACATGTGTATGAACTCAGAAGGAAGTTCAACTGCTGTTGTAAGCCTGTTCACCACTTCCATAGAGTGTAGACTCATGTCCATATTGACAAGCACTGTAAAGTATCTGTGGCCAAAATAAAATGTCAATAAAGCATAAAAAACTATAATGAGGAGGCGAACAGGCTTAAAAGGTCATCTCTGATTCTCTGTAGATTAGACACAGAAAGTATATCATAGAAACCAAAGACATACTCTGCGATTTCAGGGGAATTTATCAACTTGGTGAGAACTTCAACTGCAATGAGGGGATTATTTTCCACCAATTCCTGAAAACAAGAATTGAGGAATCATTAAAAAAAATTTGGACAAAAAATTACTTGCATTGTTGACTAAGCCTTATATTACAATAACACATACCGGTAGCTTTCTTGGTGTCAACCCACAGTGATATACAAGTTTCGGGTCATTTGCCAACTCCAACAAGACTTGCTGGACAATGAAAGGGCAAGCATTGGGTCATCTCTTCCTTCAAAATGACTGATGTAACACGATATAAAATAAATAACATGAATTACTCAGTTTTTCTTTTGAAAGTAATGTAAAAATGAAGGCCTCAACAAACTCTAATTTTTATAAAATAATTTATTTTAACTATTACAATATTTTGTAGAGGGAAATTATAACTTAGGACCACCACTTAAGAGGACGTGTGAAATTACCAACTGGACTATACCTCAGCCACCTATTAATCGCTAGCAATCACTGAAGTTAAACACTACTAAATTCAAAGGTGCCTACACGGTGTCAGTTCTAATTGGACTCCAAAATTCCCAGGGCCTACCACTAGCTTCATCTCTAGTAGATCCATACTTCATATGAACCTTGGGGTCGGAAAGGGATGGACCTCCTTTCAGTTTTATCTGTGTTTTGTTCAAGGCCCAATATCACTACGATTTTAAGCCTGGCCCAAATCATTTTACCCCTACCCACAGAATAGATTGGGGGCTCCGAGGCCCAATATCAATATCTACAGACTCTTCAACCTTCCAATGAAAGTACCAAAAATCTATACCACCCCGATTATCAGAAAGCTTTGAAATTGCCCAAAATTTTCAAGTTAAAATCTCTTCCCATTACAATTGATCTCCAACTCCCATTGGGTGAATCCATTTTCTATACTCCCATATTTAATTATTGCTTCAAATAGATTTGGCACAACCTCTATCTTATATGTACCTCTAAAGGCCTCCACATCGCTCAGAGATCTCTCAAGACAAAAGGATAAATGAACAAATCCTACAATCCCAATCAACCTCCCAAAGAAGGCAAATTATTACTAACTGAAATGTACCAAAGCTCTGATAATGATACAGAAGTCCGTCATAAAAAATAATAAAAAACCGGCCATAATCTTTGAAACCCCTCTACCTCAAGTGGGTTTCTACACAAGAAAACAGCCTTGTCTGCATCCAGTGCGGTCCTAAATCGACTTTGAACTCTAACAACTTGGATAGGGCTGCTTATGTTTATCTCCATACAAAGCTATTCTATCTATCACCACAGACGATGACACAAAAATAAGGAAATAGCCTATAAGATGAATAACTTGCAACTACTGACCCATGAATAATGAGAATGGAAGATCTCTGAACTCATTAAATCCACAATGAAGACAAAAAAGGTACTCTCTCCCACAATGAAACCACTTCCTTCTGCGACATTATGTTACTTTAACGAACTACACACAAAAGAGCCAAAATACAAAAATTGCACAAAGCATTTGCCCTTTTTCCCCCAAAAGTGTTTCTCAACAAATAATGAAACACAAGAAGCCAGAGTGCCCAGTTCAGTCTTCCCTCAAAAAAGATTATTTCACAAAGAACTGACAATTGGGCAATGGAAGAAAAGATGATCAATATTCTCCACTCCTACTAAACACATAACACACCAAGAGAGTGAGATAAAATCATTGCGCCTTTTTGTTGAAACAATATCTTAAGTATTATCTTCCTGTGAGCAATCATGCAAACCAAATATGAACTTTGCAATGTACCTCTCAGCCTTCCGAATCAAATAGAAAAGGTTGAAAATGGGTCAAGATAGTTCATCAATATTACCGCAGTCAGTCATAATATATTATACTATTTCATTCATGTATGTACCAGAACCATATAAAGACCAACCAGACTGGTTCATACACTAAATCTTAAGACCCACATCAGCCAATTGCCTAGACACATGACATATGACAACTTGATATAGAAAAAAAAAAAATCATTCAACATTTTGGACTGATAGATAAAAATACACGTGTACGTATATTTAAACTGATTATAAAGCAATTAAATATATGTATCAGCACCTCTTGTTGTGCAGGTGCAAGTGGTCCCTTCAAAGCTTTCGCAATCAAGTCCCTGACAGCTGCCCCTCTGCTAGTATCAACACACATACCATCATCCCATAAAAGTTCATGATTGTCAACAGGGTTGAGCCACACTAGCTGAAACATGTTTTGCAAGAAAAATCGAGTAAACAAGTAAGCCCTACAAATTATCAATATATAAAACTTTAAGTCTTACTTCATCATCCTGTACTGGGAGCCTTGGTGGAATAGGCCTCTTCCAATGAGGACCTAACCCTTCAAGCGCTA